AAAAATAAAGCAGAGAACTAAAAATGAAAAGTTTTTGGCAAAAGTTGCCTCGGGTCACACGTGTGCCCTTTTGACCCCCTACCAAACTTGCTGTTGCCTTTATTATTATTTATTTCATTATATATATTTGCTCATTTTGTGTGTGTGTGTGTGTGTTTGCGAGATTTTGTTCTTTCCCTCTGTTTTGCTTTCTTTTTTTGCTAATTATTAAGCTCATTTCAGAGGCTTTCTATATGCACACGTGTATGCGTGTGTGTGTGTGGGATTGCCCTGAAAAGTATGCCATGTAACTGGGAGACGGCTGTCTCATAAATCTGCCTGCGCATGTGGACAAATGTCCAAACAATACGCACAAAACAAATTCATTTACCACCCAAATTGGGCGGCGAGACGATAACGGGGGCGTGGCCATCCCGCAGGCATCATTTGTATTGCATAATTACTTATTTACACACACAGCGAAACAAGAATTAATACAATCGAAGTAGGAGGCGTTCCTGTAATCGAATTTAAGGGAAATTTAAGTCTCAGGGAAAGCTTTAAATGTGGGCTTTTGATTTAAAAACAAGAGAAGATACAGAAGAAACATAAATAATTCTATATATTTCATTTTGAAGGAAAAACCAAGAAAATTGTAATAACTTCAAAATTTCTGTTTCTGTTTAAAATTTGTCCTTTAGTTCCGTTCATTCGTAGTTCCGTTCTTTCGCAGTTAAAGAAGCGAGATGGAGTAAGCAGGGCACCAGTTGCCGTTAACGAGAGCGAGTAGGATGACTCTCTAGTCTGGGCAAGGCTTACAGGATCTAGAGGGGTTAGGGGTTAGAGCAAGACGACAGCCTCAAGTTAATTGCTTAATAGTCGAGACATCAATAAATCAAAGAAAAATGCGCGTAAGCATAAAGCAAAAAGCAGCGACGACAACAAAGAGAAATGGCTGACTGTGGGCGGTTTGAAGGCAGTGGCATGGTGATGGTATATGGCAGGGGGGTGGTGAGGTGTTTTGCGGCTGCCTGCGCAAATGCAAACAGACTGATTGATGGCGGCAAGTGATTTATTTATGTTAATGCGAAGGATTGGGGAGGGCGAGATCCAGCGACAGGGCATCAATGTAAACGAGTGCTGACAGGACTCGCCAAGGAGGAGAAATAGCTAGAAAAATATCAATTTAATAGATCGTTGTTGCATTTTTAGTATTATTTGGGATATCAATCATAAGAAAGATATTTCTTTTGAATTTATTAGTAATTTATCGATAAGCCAAATACCAGTACAAAGTCCTTGTAAATGTAAGCAATGGGAATGTAGAATGTAGGATAATGTAGGATAGTTTCTTCCTCTTTTCTGGTGAAATAAATACAATTTAAAGATAGGATTTGGTGATCTCAAAATATTATTCAATATCCTACAAAATTCCAATCTGAAACATAATTTCCTAGTACGATAAGATCGATAAGAATAAATCTTTAACGAAAACAAAGCCAAACTGTCAGCTCTCCTAGATAGAAAGAGTGGGTACCAAAGCGAGGCTTATCGTTGCGTAGAACTCCCGCACCCCCTTCCAAAATCCAGGACCCACTACCATGCCCATTCCCATTCCGCGGGCACTTTGGTATTTTCACCTGCGACATTTGTCGCTGTACGTGTTCCGAGCGACGATTAATCAACTGCGTGGGCGCCGGCGGGAAAGTGAGATGAACTCTGGCACTTCGGCGATAACAAAAGCACACGCACGATTCCGATGACGATGTTTCGCTTATTCAAAAAAAAAAAAAAAATATATATATATATGAGTTTTCGCTGTTTCTAACGGAGCACGTTCAAAATAACAATCTGTATTCGCTATATCTGCACAGGTTCTTAAATAGCCCTTAGAAACAAAAAGTTTTTAAATGTTTAATGAGAGTAATGTTTAGATAAAGAAGATTTTTTCTAAAACTATTTTATGAATATTTCTTTTACCCAGCCATAGGCTTGCATATTGATTAGAAAAAATGAATATAAAATGAATATCTGAAATTGTTAATCGGAAAAGAGCTGGATGAAAATGCTGATGAAATGATGAGTTTGAGGGGACAGCAGCCAGGCGACAAGAAAGACATCAAATGAATTTTAATACGCGCCAGGGGAGCCGTCAATAATTAATTGGACAAATGGCCAGCGGCGAGGCCGAAGTTTTTGGGTATCTCTTGTCTTGTTCTTTTATTGGCGGCTCTTCAATAATTGATTATTGCGAAATGGACTGCGGAAATGGTGAAAGTTCATTCAATAATAATTCCGTTTCGCCAGCGACAACTTTGTCGTGTTGCTGGCGCCTCTTTGACTGCCCTGAAAAAATCGCTGCAAAAAAAAAAAAAAAATGAAATGAGAGAAAGGAGGAGGAAGGCCCATGGAATGAGCATGAATAAACATCAATAGGAATTTTATTGTGAAAATATTTGTCGCTGCCGGTGCGTTGGGTCAGGAACAACAAAAACAGTTAGAAAAATTATACACCAGAAAAAAAAAGATGCAAAAACATAAAAATAAATTAAAATTTGCAAAATACATTTTTTATACATTTTTACTTACATATTTGTAAAATGTACATAGTTTTTACATATCATGTAAAAAATCTTAAATCATCATTATAATTATAATATTCTTAAAGTTTTCCTTTCAGTGTACATCTTCTATCCTGGCAATGACCGCAAACAGACAGAAAAATAGCAAAAAGGGAGGCGAAATTATAGAGTAAACGAAAGTCATGGGAATTTATTGCTGTTCTGTGAGCAAACAAAAAAGAAAGAAATATCGCACAAACAGTTCACTTTAATAGCTTACACTAGTAAATAATTCCCATGGTAATATTTGTATACATATGTATGTGTTTAGCCTACATATGTAAATACATATATGTTATATGTAAATATTTCCTTTACTTTTCTCATAACATTAAATAAAGAAATGTGTGTGTTTATATAATTTAATTTAATCTTTATGGACCGATTTCTCAATGTCAAATTAAGGTTCTAGTTTGTTAACTGTCAAAGAAGGTTAAACACATGTTGAAAAGTACATATGGTTTCTTAATTTGATAATATATGTTTTTTCTGGCCGTAATTAAGATGATATTGAGAAAGTAAACATTTACAAAACATCAATTAAACTTATTTTCATTGTTCTTACAAAGTAATTTTTGAAAAAGCACAAAAAGGCAAATAAAAATCCCTTATTACAAATTTTCTCTATAAATAGAAAATAACACAAAATTAATTTCTACAAACCGATTTTGTTGGTTTTTTGTTTTTCTCTTTTGCTTTTTTTGCCTTTCAGCTTGACCTTTTTTTTGTGGCGACGCGTGAACGATGACGTCGACGGTCGCCGCCAACAGTAGGCAATAAAATTGATGTCACGTTTTTATGACGCCGTTGATGAGTCGTTATCTTTGATTTCAGCACGCAGGCTCGGTCTCCATTTCCGTCTCCTATCTACACTCTCCACCATTATCCATCTCTCCACGCTTGTTTTGTGTCCACGAGACGCAAGTTTTACAAAACCGCATCCCTCTTTCTTACACACAAACACAGAAACAAACAGCAGGACACGCACACCCACGCAGACATCGACAATTGCGTCAGGTGGTCGCGGTCGTGCGGTCATTATTCTTCTCCTTTTCCTCTGCTTGGCTTTTGTTTTTGTGTTGCTTTTTGTGTTTTTAATTTACGCCCAGTTCAATTTGCGCTTTTTGTTTTATCTCCCGCTCATAATTTATTGTTTTTTTTTTTTTTTGTGTGTCCTTTCTCTTCGTTTCGCTGGCATTTGCAAATTGAAAACAAGGAGTAAAGGTGCAGTCTTCCTTTCGACCAAGGAGTACCCTAAGAAGTATACTATGATCTAATAATCTATATATACCAGGATATTAAGCAGAAATATAGAGTAATATGGTTTTAAGATCACTGGATTGGTGTCTAAGACTATTCTGAAGTATATGTTTAGTAAGAAAATCCCATGAAATCATGAATCTTTCTTAAACATCAATATACCCTTTGTACTCTGTGAGTAATCGGTATTCCAGATGCGCGACCCTTTGTTGTTGTCCAACAACAGCAACAATAGCTGCCTCTTTTTGGCAACTGTTTCTTACCGTTGTCTTTGCTGGCACGCTTTACGAGCACTGCAAAAGCAACAGCAGAACGGAGCAAGTTGAAGAGAGAGTTTTAATTCCTTACCGTTACCTGTCTATCCTGGCTTATTTTTTTGGTACTATATAGTATTAAATCTAAAAATATATTGGAAATATTGATATAATGATAATAAAATAATGGAAATCAAAAAATAACCTCAGATCTAATCAAGTCATCTGTCGTTATCCTTATTTTTCCACTAATTTGTTTATAACGTAAACAAATTCCAGTTAAAAATGTTCTACTGTACTTGAAATGTCCTGTGGTTCGTGTTATGAAACCCTGCTATTATCGCATGCCTAATGCAAATTGCAATTAATTCCAGAAATGTAAATTCAAAACGAACCATGTGCATGGCATAGGTTATAGCCAACATACAGATGTACATATTAAGTAATTTAATCACAATTATTTGCAATGACTGGGTTTTAAGTGACAACTGTCCTGCTATTACTATTCATAAATGCAAATTGCTTAAATGCTACCAATGGACAGTGGGCTTTTATTTCAGGTGTTTTTTATATCATCATGAGGAAAAAAACAAAGCAGTCATTCATGCATTCAGTGCATTCGCTAAATTTAACTCAATTAATTTGGATTGCTATATGTAAGTACAGATAAAAACAATACATAAAAAACACATTGTTATTTACATTTTTTGCACCTTTCTATATGTGAACAACAACAGAAAGACACGAATCATGTAATTAGATATTATATTAGATTGAAATACGAAATGTGTGGCTGGAAATATGTAAATTTAATATACGTTGCATGATTTAGTTGCAATTTAATTAAAGGCTCTTTGTTTCCTTTCGTTTCCATGCTTGTTTTGTTAAACATTTAATTGGTTGTTATTAAAGATGTAAAAAATAAAAAAAGAAATAACCATATATAGTGTCGATTTCAGGGGCATAAGATGAGGGGCACGCAATGGCCACGTTCGTCACGTGCATAGCCCCTTGCACAGTGACAGCCCGTTAGTGATTTCCAGCATCGTTGGGAAAACTCCTGGCAAAAGGATTCGCAACGGCAGATTGGATTACTCATTCGGCACTCGTAGGCTCCACATTTTCCGGATCCGTCCAATGCTCCCCTTGTAAATGCCACCATAAAATGGAGAAGTAAGAAGACTGCAGGCCACTTGATTTGTTTTAGCATTATGACCGATTTCTGATTAAGCTACATATCTATTTATAGTAATAAAATTAAAACAGATGTCAGGTGTTTAAGCTGAACCGCAATTTTGAATTCAAATTGGGCGCGCATTGCAGCCTTGTAGCACGTTTTAGTATTTTTATGGACACACTGGCGCGATCGTCAGTGGAAAAACTATCGCAAAAAGAAAATTTAAAAACTAAGGGTATTCCTAATTTAAAATAAAACCTATATAAATGATTATATTTTGAGTATTATATTTTAATTGTGTTTAAAATATATAAATATAATGTAAGACTGTAAAGGAATAATTATAAAAGAAATTTTTCGGTATATAAATTCACTTTCGGTAAAATTATTTTACATAAACGCGGTCACACTATCAAGATCGCAATTTGAAAGACGCTTGGCTTGCCAAACAAACGGTTAAAGTAAATGCAAAACGATTTAAGAATATATTTCATCAATTTATATTTAAATGGAGGGCGGCAAATTGAGCGCCGTGCGAATTGCAGTTCGTGAAGCGCCGTACCGTCAGTTTTTGGGGCGTCGAGAACCGAGTGTTGTTGAATTTCCGCCATGGAGCGATGGCAAGGTAAACTATAATGTTTTAACTGTAAAGGGCTGCCATGATCACCCTTCCATTTCTCTGATTTTACAGTCCTTAATGGTGGATCAGAATGAATTTCTCTTCGATTACGCCTTTTCGTCGAACACCAGCCAGGATGAGATGTACCAGACCTTGATCCAGCCGCTGGTAGAGAAGGTCCTCGATGGATTCCAGTGCACAGCATTGGCCTACGGACAAACTGGAACGGGAAAGAGCTATTCCATGGGAATGGCACCACCCGATAAGGTGGGTCTATCTTAAAAGAAATACTATTTTGACGAAAAATCGTTCTAATTACCAGAAAACCAAACCAAACCTTAATATTTCCGTTAATCCCCTACAAATCCAGAAACCCGAGCATGCTGGTGTTCTGCCCCGCTGCCTGGGCGACATCTTAGATCGCGTGATGGCCAAGCAGGAGAACCACATGGAACCCACCCAGGTGTTTGCCTCCTTTATCGAGATCTATAATGAGAAGGCCTACGATCTCTTGGGCTCCACGCCACATATGCCCATGATGGCTTCGCGTTGTCACAGATGCACATGCCTACCATTGGGCAGTCAGGTAGATTTGCAGTATCTATTGGAATTGGGAACACGGAATCGTCGCGTTCGTCCAACGAACATGAATTCTAGCAGTTCCAGATCACATGCCATAGTAACAATTCATGTTAAGAGTAAAACCCATCATTCAAGGATGAATATAGTAGACCTGGCTGGCTCAGAGGGCATAAGGCGTACCGGGCATGAGGGTGTGGCCAGACAGGAGGGTGTCAACATCAATCTGGGTCTGCTGAGCATCAATAAGGTGGTGATGTCCATGGCAGCGGGTCACACAGTGATTCCCTACCGCGACAGTGTACTTACTACAGTCTTACAGGGTAAGTGGATTTGCTTTTAAGCATCTTATTTCAAAGTTGCAATGTATTTAATGATAAATATTGTTATAATTGGGTTGGCTTAGATACTTAAACTTCCTTCCTTCATTCTTTTCAGAATCGCTCACCGCGCAGTCATATCTAACCTTCCTCGCCTGCATCAGTCCCCATCGATGTGATCTCACCGAAACTTTGTCCACTCTACGCTTTGGGACCAGTGCCAAGAAACTCCGCCTGAATCCGATGCAAGTGGCACGGCAAAAGGTGAGCTTTCCTGCTTTTCTCTAGATGTAGTCAAAGTCTACACAGTCGAGGATCACCTCTCGCATTCGTTGTTTGAAAGTCGCTTCATTGCCTGCACCTAAGAATCCAGCACCTTGAAGATCCGTGGTGGCTCCAGCTTCAATTCGCTCGCTAATGGCTTGAAGATCGGGCACATCCGAACCCTGCATTGTCACAATTGGTAGAACCATCATGGCAAGAAGCAAGCCCACAGCGGCTTTAGTGGCCACTTGCACATCGAATGCTGGTCGAGGAAATAGTTCCTCCAACTTCTCGTTCAATCTATGGGAAAGATAGTTTGTAAATCTACAATCATAGATGGAGGAATTGGTTACTCCTACCTGTTAAGCTGCAGTCCCAATTCTTCATAGTAATCCTCTAGCATATTTTTAAGATGCTGCTGTCTGAATTCTCTCGAGGTGCATGTAAAGAGGAAATAGGCCAAATCGGTGACTGGAGATGCATATCGCATTAGTTGCCAATCGATCAAGCGAACGTCCTCTAACTCTCCTTGGTCCCCGATCTTGTAAAGGATGTTATTATTCCAGCAATCGCCGTGACAGATGACAGCGAAGGGTTCACAATTGGATCCGCTGACCAAAGGCAGCAGCAGCTCAAAGTATGTTCCTTTGGCGAAATACGCCTCCAGACGAACTCTGTAGGGATCATCTTCTGGTGACAGCAGTGACGAAAGGGCACTACCTTTGAGATTTTCAAAGTAAACACCCAATGCATGATCCTCGCGTCGTTGCTCGAAAATGTCCACCAGCTGCTGTAGTTTCTCCATTCTCTCAGGAAGTTGATGCTTTGCAGCCAGAGATGTAGCATGTAACTTGGCATAGGTGCATATTACCCGACGCACATGATCGACGGATAACTCCTGGAAACGATCGTGCAGGGTGAACCCAGCACAGGAAAGATCCTCCAGCACAATACACTCGTTGGGCTCATCCTGGCGTGTTCCATGACAAAGGGCATGCTGTCGAAAACGATCCTCTTCGGCGATCTGCCATTTCCCCTGTATCATGTTGACCAAAGGCAGGAACACCTCGTATGCTACCGTTTCCCGGAGGAAGCATGGACGTGCAAAGAATTGCTTGCGACGCACGCGATTTTGAGGCGGTAACTTAACCACCAGGCTGCGATTCGATTCGGAAGCCACTTGAAGACGCCAAACCACACCCAAATAATTGTCACCCTTGGCACTGGCTCGTTTTAGACGAAGCTCAGGATTGGCTCCTAGTTCCGGCCACAGTTGACTGACAAGATTGCGGAGGAACTGTGTTACCTGCTCGTTGGGTAGATCCTCTTCTGGTTTTGATGCGTCCTCTTCTTGTTCTTCTGAATTATCGCGTTGTTGCTCTATCCTGTCAGGGTTTTCCTTATTCTCCTCCTGACTCAGTTCATTTTGAGTTTCCGCATTTGGGTCTGAAAATGTGACTGTGGCGCAATCTTGCTGATCGCCTACTAAATCTGCATCTATAGATTCCGCTTCTAGATCTTCAAGATTCTCTGTGAGCTGCTCCTTGTTTTCTGAGGTTTCTGTTAGATTTTCGTTCACTTTTGAGAAGTCATCATTCTGTGGAACATCTAACGTTGCCTCCTCGTCCAGATTTGATGGCAATTGTTCCTCTTCCTGCGTTTTCTCTTTCAGTTTATCTTTGGAATGTTCTTCAGGCTGATCTGCCAATTTAGAAATATTTTCTAGGATCTCTGACTCCTCTTTTACGATATCCTCCTCAGCCACAGTCTCGTCGTCTAGATTTTCTTGAATTTTCCGATCGTCTTTTTCAAATTGCTGCACTTCAGCAGTTTCCCCTTCACTTTCCTTCTTATCCAACCCTGAATCCTGATCTTCCTTCTCTGGATCACCTATGATTTCTTCTACTTTCTTTAAGACATTCTCCTCTGTTGGTTCTTCATCGATTTCTGGTACCAGCACCCTCTGTTCAACTTCCAGAATTTGTTCTATAAGTTCCTCTTGAAGCTCCATTTGATCTGGTACTTCTTCTATGACTTTCTGCCTCTGTTGATCTTCCTGCTCCTCCGCCGGCTGCTTCTCGTTGGACTGTTCCATTGCACACTGCAACGGCGACCCGAGTGTGACCCGTTTATATAGAGATCGAAAGGCAACCGCATTGACCGCAAATCGAATGATGCACTTACTCAAGTTTCATTATTCTATCTCGCTCTGATTGCAGCAATCACAGGCCGCACGGACACCACACGTCTTCCGCCGAGTGCTGAGCAGCTCAACGGCTATCAAACGCCCAGCCGCCAGTCAGAACAGCACACTTGTTTCGCACATTCAGAAATCCGAATTAGCAAAACCTCTGACCAATGTGCTCCATCGTACTCGCTCCGAATTGGGCATGACTCCCAAAGCCAAGAAAAGGTAAGAGAAGGCTTTTAATTTCTTAGGAAATTGTTGTTAATTATTATTATTTATAGGGCTCGCGAACTATTGGAGATGGAGGAGACGATGCTGGAACCATCGCCCATCAAGAGCAATTCCCATAGTAGCCTCAGTCTAGTGGGTTTCCAGGGTGATATCGAAAAGGATAGACAACTAATGCCACCACCTAGTATGGGTACTGGACAATCCAACAGCCTGCACTCTACAGTCATGAGCATTCCCGAAGAGAATGAACTGGAACAGTCGGCTGGGATTCAACAGAAGGCCATCTCCAGTACAGTACGCTGCCAACTGTTCAACACCAATGTCAGTCCCATTAGTTTGCAAACATTTAGCATACAAAAAGAAATTAGCGGGATCCAACCAATGGAAGAGACTTTACAGCCTTCTCCAATAGAACCACAAATCATCCGCCGCTCCATGCGAATAGCGAATATGCAAAGATCGATAAACTATGGGTCCATAACCAAAGTAAATGGAACAAGGCAAAGCACTCGTCTAAAGGAAATACGGGAAAATTCTTCTGCCGTGGTCGTAAAAAAGGAGAAGATCAACCAGCTTAAGGATTTGATTTCACGAATTGAAGCTCCTCAAGACGGAAGTCGTCCGGGGAAAAGAAATCCTCCAGTCAAGGATTGGATGAATAATAATCATAAATTCTTCCTTGACTTGCTTAACAATCCCAGCGTTAAAGAACTGCAAAAAATCCCCATGATTGGGCCAAAGAAAGCCCTAGCTTTAGCCATCCACAGGTAAGTTTGGAAATGGATCGTATTTAGTTTCCTTTTTAACCAATTATTTTAAACTATATCTTTCAGATCCCGACTTGGTTGTTTCAAAAATCTCAAACAGGTAAAAGATCTACCAATTTGGCCCGGTAAGAGCTGGGAAAAATTTGCCGAAGTCAACTGTCTGGATATTTGATTATTAACTTTATTTAATGTAAGAAACAAAGAGGAGCAGGATATCCTAAAGCAACTGGACTAGAATAACATAGGGAACTATAATAGGATTTATATTTTTGTAATATTCATTTTAATGTGTGTATTGTTTTTTTTTATTGACCTTTTTTTTAAATTATTAATGTAAACTAATTTAGTTTTTTAATAAGCTATATGTGAACCAATGCCCAAAATATATATTTCTTAACGGAAAATTGTAATTCTTCGGTCTATAAAAAGCTTTAAAGGTTCTGGCTTTTCTAATCTAATACATTTTTGCTTTATTTTAAACCATTCTCGAGTGCTACCAAGTCCTCGATAGTATAGTGGTTAGTATCCCCGCCTGTCACGCGGGAGACCGGGGTTCAATTCCCCGTCGGGGAGAATTTAAGGATTCTTTTTTGTCATAGATTTTTTTTATACTTTTCTATATTACATTATTTACTATTCCCCCTGAAACGTTTATTCTAATTATGATTTTCAACTCTATTTGGAATTCCAATTTATCGAATTTTGAACGAATTGACCGTTTGAAATTACTGTACAAGTGCAGTCGATAAGACTTCAAGTTATCGCTAACGAACAGTCGCGTCCGGTTGGACATATACAAAATGTAATCATAATTAATGCTTAACTAAGCATTAAACTTTAAATTGCCAGAACTAATTATTTACTAAAAGATTTATTTATTATAAACAAATTCCGCAAACTAAAACCCTCACAAAATTATAAATAAATTTAAAATCGCTACGCGCCCAAGTTTTTGGTATTTTAAAGTGGTATTTTTGGCGTGGTTCGGATAGCATTTGAAGGTATTTCACCATCTGGCCACACTGTCGAGTCGCGTAGTTTGGTTTGGAAGTGTTTTTTTTTCTGTGGCTCGCTCCGTTGTTTTCAGGTGCTCCGCGTTTTTATGGCCCGCTCTTAATCTTATCGCAAATCAAACCGCGGGCAATGAGAATTGTAATTGCATATTTTGGCTAAACGGTAACGGTTTTTGCAAAGTGATCTAATTTTTGTGAGATCTAACATATTAAAGACCGAAATCCGTTTCGGAAATAACGAAATCGAATTGCAGAAAAGTTTTTTCGAGTTGTTTGAGGTGAAATATGCCTGTAAAGACAGTTAATCGTCAGCAAAGCCAAACGCCCGCCCAGCAATTGCAAATGCAGCAGCAGCGGGACGTTGAAAATGGCCTTTATCCAACGATTCCTCCCGAGCGTCGATCGCCACCATCCCGTCCACAAACGCTGCGACAGGATACCATCGATATGGAGGAAATACCACTGAATAGGACTCAAGCCGTGGAGCCTGAGGATCGCCGAAAAATGCATGAGATCTTCGACAAGGTGAGTTTATATGTTAAGTTTTAACATAAACTAGGAAAGTTAAGGATAGTTACATTGAAAAAATAGATGGCTTATCTAAATTAACAGGCATTATCTGTTAGAACTTGTTAAGTTGCCACAAGAGTAGGAATAAAACTCAAGTTACATCAATGAAATATACAGTTAATCCAAAGAACTAATATTAATAGCAGTTTTAAATCTTAAAACTTATGAAATTCTACCAATGTTATGGTTAAACTTCAACTAATTCTATAGAAATCAATAATTAATCCATGGAAACCACAGCCGGCAGTTGGGTTAAGACAAAGACCTTGTGAAATTGCATCAACAGTTGGGTTAATGTTAATGTTTCTTGGGAAATTAAAGAAAAACAGAAAAAGAACCGTAATTAAAATACTCAGCCGGCACTTACATGCCACTCACACACACTTCGCACATATGCATGTGAATGGAGTTTGTTGTTTATAGTTTTAGCCTCTTATAGCTGTCTTCTTCTCGCCCTTGGTGAAAGTTGAGTTTGATGAATCATCTTAGCATCGATCCGCTAGTGTGGAGCTCTTCGCACTCCCCTTAAAAAAAAAAAACCCCACCTTTAACCCATCAATGAACACACGGTGAAAAATGAGACATCGTTTGTAAAAATGATATATTTTCTTGATATATTCATAAAATCAAATGGGAAACATGAAAATGCTATACATTGAAGATGAAAAAATGACTAAATATAGCCTATATACTTAGCAAGTGAGAAATATACCTAATTAAATTCCAAAACGTGATATTTCAGTTCCTCAGAAATTAAACATTCGTGTGTTGAGTAACTCATGGCTGATAATTTACGTGCCTGCTACTTTTATGCCTTATATTTTTAGGGAAAAGCCTTAAAGAATTTGTTGTAAAATTTAAAATCTTACAAAAATAATTAAAAGTAAAGTAATTTATATCCACTTATGTATATACATAACTTCTACATAATACTTTATTTGAGGTACTTAACCCATCAAGAACCCGGCTGTCATTCACTTTTGCACCTCCCCATAAAGCTTTATTTTTATACTTCCTGAGCTATATTTCGCTGCATTTTGTTTTCTTAACATTGAAAAACCAGTGGGAAAACAGGGGGCTGCAGGGGGAGTAGAGTTTTCTTATCGTGACAGAGGGGCGGCAAAAAAAAGTAAAAAAAAAAACCGGTTATAAATTATTGTTTGCTTGCTTTCAGTTCTGTCTTCGTTTTTGTTGTTGTTGTTTTTGTTCTTTATTCTTTGGTTGTGCGTTAGTCACTTAACCCCATACTGCCCCATCGCTCCCCGATTTCACCCACCGCCCACCTGTTTGCATTTGTTGTTATTTGGCTTGGGCAGACATTATCATTTCGATTTCTGGATTTCTGTTACCCATATTTCTGGCACTGCGATTCTTGATTCACCCAAGCTCTTTATAACGTTCAATGGCCCCTTGGCAACACGTTAGATTCCAGTTCTGGCTATATTTTTTTTTTTTTTTTGTAAATAAATAAAGTTTAAGCATTTGATTAGCATACAAGATGAGCTGTATGCTCTGGATTTTCAATCCAATCCCATTGGAAATCGGAATTCCAGGCACATTCCTACCCTTCGTTGGCAATCTTATCTGGGTTTAGTCGCCACCAAACATTCAAGTGGCCAAAGAGAGGGCCAAAATACTTTTGTTTGGGGTTTCTCAAGCTTTTATTCAATAATCTAGCCAATGATATAACCAAAATAAAATAACAAATAGTTGTCTAAAAAGAAAAACCATATTTTTGGCTTAAATAAAAGTAAACTAAGAGGTAGATTTTATATTTAAAAAGCTTTAAAGTCATTTTTCCAAGTTTCTTCTACTAAAACATAACTTAAGTTTGAGTTATTTACAATATCAGATAATAGACAAGTTTGTTAGATAGAAAACAAAGAACTTTATTCACTTTTTGAACTGAGAAAAGTGCGAGTTTGTGAACTTGGGACTGTATCATTTTGATATTTGTGAAATATCATGTTGATATGTCACAGATAAGAGCCTTTGTGATATGAGAAAATACCTAGCTAGATGACCACTTTTGTTGTTTTAACTTTTAGTTAGTTCGTACATTATGTGAAACTTAAGTTGTCTTTTTTTTTTTTTGTTTTTGGAAATCTTTCTTTGTTTCAATTTGATTTCACAGATAAAATTATACAAACAAAAAAATGTATGCACTTATTTCCTGGTGATTTCCCTTCTTTGTATATGCTTAAATATAAAAACCAGTAATTGCAATAACTACTGACCGACTATGACTAAGACCCCATCCCCTCGAGATTCCATAACCACTGTCCGCTTATCGCCTGATTGTCCCAACTTTTTGCTGCTTTTCTAGCGTATAATAACCATTAGCCCATGTCTGGGATGTGGAAGCTAAACATGAATAAGACACTTCTATGTCTATATCTATCTAATTTTATATATATATATATATAGTTTGTCTTTTGTTTATTTTTTTAGCTTAGTTCTAATTTTTAAGTGCGAACATTGACATTTCGCTGGGTTGCGTTAACTTTCCTTCTTTGTTTTCTTAGATTCTATGATTAGTCGCTTTGATTGTCGGCAGTTTTGTGTTTGTTTATTTAATTAAGATATATTATAGTATAGTTTATCTTTAGTTTATTTGACTTATCCATAGAGACTGTGGATATATCAGAGATATTACCTACTTGATACTTTGTTTATGTTAGGATTTCGATTAAGTTCTTAAAACTGTTTTACTTAGGCTATAGAGTCTGTGAATATTTCTGGGAAAAAAAGAGTTTACAGTCTTAGATTAAATTCTTTGAGGTTACTTATGACTTATAACTTTTACCAACTTTGCTTAGCTTTTACCTCTTAAAATTACCTTCTATTCAACTTTGAAATTCCAACAGTTTGTTAAAAAACTTAAGCCTTATATATGTCCAGATGATGATGACAAATTATTTTATAACTGGCTAAAAAATTTCTTGACCATAATTGAAAGGTCAGTACAGACCTTATCTATGACAAATGTTTTTTATGGCCAGCTTCTAGACCAAGAACGATAAGAGTAAAACGTCCATATAAGGGCTTTCGATAAGAATGATTTTAAAATGACTAAAAGCATGTTCAGAAATACAAAAAAACCTAGATTTGGCATAGGAAATGTGCACTTTTAAGTTATATTTTAACAAAGTTCTTTTAGACCTTCTTTATATCTAAAAATGTTGACCTTTATTACCAATATTTTGTTAACTTTTGCTGACAATTTTGCAATTGCAAGTGACTTTCGATTTGTTTTCGATTAGCCTCGTTTGGATTTCTAGTTTCTCGTCTCGATCTGTGGCATTCATTCCTGGCCTTTTATGGACACATTTGTTGGCCCGACAGCATTTGTTGATTAAAATGTTGCAAGTGTTGGGGCAATAAGGCAACCAAAAAGGTGGAAATCCATCAAGAAAACGCAATATTTCTGTTTGGGATATTTCTTTGGACTCTTTTATTGCCACATTTTTAGTCTTAAAGTTGGATTTGGAATAGTTTAATAGGTCGAAATTATTACGATTCTAAGGGAATATCAAAGAAGGTTGAATTCTTGCAGTGTGGCACGGAACAGCTAGGAGCCACTGTCTTGTCCTGATCCTCCTCCTCTTCTTCGTCAATGGGATCCTGCCAAGCTGTTGGCTGCTGCAACTCCGTCTCGGGCTCTTTCGTTTGCTGCTCCAGAAACTCCGACTCGTGCTGAAAGTTGGTTGTAGGTCCCCTTGGTGTAGTCACTTCACTGTTCAGCAATGGCAAGTTGATCATCCTAGACGGCGCCAGGGATGAGCCTATAAACCTGCCCTGCCGCTCTAAGCGCTGCAACTGATATCGCTCCATCGCCACCAATTCCCGCTTGGCCCTTGCCCGTGCCATGTCGTCGCCTGTGCTGTTGTTGGTAGTGCAGAAATTTAGGACTGCTAAGAGACCAGCCATGCCCAGGTAAATAACCAGAATGGTGACAATTCCAGATGTTTCCTGTAACGGCTCCTCGTCGTCTACCAACGGAAGACCATCGCATGGAGTAGCCGATGACAAGCCCAGCCAGGTGTTCATGTGGCGGGTCATCTCCATAAGTTCGAACATCCCTGAAGGATTTTAGTTATTAAGCGATTGTAATCTAAGATTGTTAACCTAGAAAGGTGTTTATTTCTTTCTGAACTTACTTGTGCTTCGTCGTAAGACCTGATTATTTTTTGGGTATGGATGTTACTCTTGATATTAACCAAGTTCTGTTGGATGGCAAAGTTTTCCTAAACTGATGACTCCACGATGTTAGAATTTGTTATGTCATAGCGGGTATGGCTGCCCAGATGAAAATAATTTTAGGAAATGAGATGGAAAACCCTTTTCTATAACCCTGAAAGTGAAAGTTTTATACAAGGCCAACTGTGATTCTATTTTTGGCTATAGGTTTGTTTCTACATTAGAAAACTGATGGGATAAGATGATCAATAAGTGGATTTTATAAGTTTTAAACTTGAAAATAGGTATACTAATACTATATCTTTAACCCACAGCACGACTCCGACAGGGATGGACTGATCAGCACCCACGAGCTGAAGGAGCTAATCTCTGATGGCTACTGCCGGGACATACCCGCCTATATTGCCGAACAGATCCTAAAGCGCAGTGATCAGGACAACGATGGCCATTTGGATTTCGAGGAGTTCTATGCAATGTCCCTGCGCCACAAATGGATGATCCGCAATATGTTGACACGCTACTGCCGTTACGTTGTACCGCCACCGAAACCCTTGGAGGGCGATGAACCTGATGGTGCCTATGAGAAGCAGATGTCCATCTGCCCACCGCCTCTTACCATGGTCCTCTTTTCGATCATTGAGATTATCATGTTTTTGGTGGACGTCATTCATTTCCAGTGAGTAGATGTCGTTGAGTTTTAAGTACCATCTTAAATCATAACTTATCTTTTACTTCTTCACCTTTCAGGGACGATCCCAACTATCAAGATCGCATAGGCGAAAGCACTAGCGGGCCGGCGGCCACATTGTTCATCTACAATCCCTATAAGCGTTACGAGGGATGGCGCTTTGTTAGCTATATGTTCGTCCATGTGGGCATCATGCATCTGATGATGAATCTGATTATCCAAATCTTTCTGGGCATCGCTTTGGAGTTAGTGCATCATTGGTGGCGCGTTGGATTGGTCTATCTGGCTGGTGTTTTAGCCGGATCCATGGGCACATCGCTTACAAGTCCTCGCATCTTTCTAGCTGGGGCATCAGGTGGAGTCTATGCACTGATCACAGCCCACATAGCCACGATTATTATGGTAAGTTGAGGTTAAAATTTGATTTTTATTTATCTAAATGAGATTCTTTTCCTCCCGCAACAGAACTACTCAGAGATGGAGTATGCCATTGTACAGCTGCTGGCCTTCCTGGTCTTCTGCTTCACTGATCTGGGCACTTCGGTTTATCGCCATCTCACCGATCAGCATGATCAGATTGGTTATGTGGCGCATTTGTCTGGCGCCGTCGCAGGATTGCTAGTGGGAATTGGGGTGCTTCGTAATTTAGAAGTGCGACGCTGGGAACGCATCCTCTGGTGGGTGGCTGTCATCGTTTATTTTGCCCTAATGACCACTGGCATCATTATACATGTCTTTGTGCCCGATTACTTCCCGAAACAGGAGTACAACTAGCCCTAGAACTTAAGTCGTCCTAGCCCTAGAGCCCTAGCCTAGACCATGTCCAAAAAGTGCACTTCGATGTTGATCCGAAGCTACTGCTGCTGCAGAGTACGCACAGTGCCTATCCTATCTATAGGATACCCCACTACCACCACCTTTATTCCCTTCGACCATGTGCCTATCCCGAGAGCTGCAAAACATAATTTATTTTCTTACACCTTGCCATGGCAGCATCTTCATCCCATCCCCAAAATGTATATGGTAAACGTACTATATATATATTATATTGTATTCTCTCGATCTACACATGACGTAACGAAATGAGAACAAAACTCAAAGCTGCATTTTTGTAATGTTGTACATTTCGTGAAAATTTGTTTTTTTTTTTATATAGATCAACGATTTTTTATCAAGAATAATGAAGAGATATTTTTACTGTATATTTTTGGAGATTTATTATTAAGATCTTATATTTAAATGCAATAAAAAACAATGTCTTTGTATGGAGAAAAATGATGTGATTTACATATGGATTTTATTTATTTTTAAAATGAATGGCAAAATGTTTTTCCTTCTGATTTTTCTCTTGTTAACCATTTTAATGGATATATTACTTAATCAATATAGGTTTGATCTTTATATCATGTTCAAGATCAAGGTGGACTTATTCGTAACGATTGTACTTAAGTACTTACAGATTATTGTTGAATTTCAAATTCAACATTGCCAAAAATTTTGGTAAAATCAATTTATAGTCAACAAAATATTATATATTTTCCCCTCCAGGCAATTTTTCTTTCCTTTTATTACGTTGGTTCGTTGTTTTTTTAAAAGGAATATATATTAATAAAATGTGTAAAACCGAGCAGTTAGAAAATTAAAAAGACAGCGCTGCTGTGTGGTGTTTGTCAAGTTTTTGGATCACTGCAATTTCTGAAATCAAGGCGTTTTGAACGCCGTCCAAACTTAAAGACAAATCCTTCTGGAAAAATTGAAAACAAAAACCAACTAAAAAACTTGCCGGTACATTTTCGAGAAGAGGTTACATTATTTCTTTGTTGCTGTCTTTTTGTGTTGATAAACCTTAGTGTGGGTTAAAGTTTAGTAGTTTCTTGTGTTAATGTGATGATTCTCGAAGACTCAGTCTTGCCATTCTCTGGTACTGGGAGGGGTGATTACTTATAAACTAACTTATGGCACCTAGGCTTCTGTATATATATCCTGGGGCTAAGGGTGGTTCTTGCTGTACTCTTCCGGACGGGGCAGGAACTTCATATTGGTAGTCTCACTCATATCCACCTTGACCACCGTAAGCCAAGCATGTGGCATCATATGATGCAGTATGGCCTCCAAACGCTCCACTGGCAAAACGGCAACACAATCGGTATGATCCACTTCGGTACAGTTTTCATCATCTGAACATGTATTAAGATGATCGTCGCCTGGAATTCCAGGAACAGGACGCTGAACAGGTATTACAGCCCTGCCCTTGCCATTGTACAGTGCACTAGTGGCACTCAATAGCTGGGTAATCAAACCCAGGCGAAATATTTGCAATTGCTCGGCATTATCGCTGACGGCCTGCATTACGGCATTGGTCATGTTGGCCGTATTCTGCATACAATTTGGTGTCAACAGTAATTCTCTCACAGACGGACAGTTGGAAAGGAAAGTGGTAAATTCACTGTTCACATCCACGTTAACCAATTCCAGACGTTTTACTCTACCAGCAATTGATATTCCATACATAATATCATCCAGCGGGAACATGGTCATGCCCCTGTGATCATTCTCCAAGCGGAAAGAACGTAAAGACTTCAGCATAGGCAGCACATATCTGCCTAACTTATTACAGTCCATGTCCTGGCAAAAGCCCAACGATAGAACCTCCAGTTTACGAAGATGGGAAAATATCTTCAAATCCAAATGTTCGAAATTCGACACTCCACGCAGACTTAACTCAGTTAAGTTATGGAATCGCTCTATGATGTTTATAGATTGTATAACCGATTTCGGATGGGTCATACGAAGCCGTAGGACCCGTAGATCATTCCATTTAACCATATTCGACAGACTCAAAGCTTCACTGGTGCATGTGGCCCTTAATTCTTTTAGTTTGGGTAAATTTCGAAATATCAATGTCATGAAAGCCTCTGTCGATGCATCCGTACGTAAGATTCGTAGTGACCTCAGGGTACGTAAATCTGACGAAAGGCGAATGGAAGGCGTCATCATTGTTACACCCATCATGTCCAGCTCCCGGGTATGATTACGACACATCTTACGCAACAAATGCATCCAATTACTAACGTATGTGTCGCGCAGGCTTACCGTTCGCCACACACTCATCTCTTTGCTAACCATGAACCATGTGTTGCACACCCTGGACATGTTAGAACGTTCCTGAAAAAGATTACCAAAGAAAAATATTAGGTTAATGTCTTTATTAAATTGAAGTGATCGCCTACCTTTAGATTCATCGTTTTCATAACGGCTGCCAGCACCTGACAGCTATTCTGGGCACTGCCGACTAAATTGGCTACCGTTTGGCTTTGATTTTTCCGCTTGTTGTAGATCCTCTCATAGCTGGTCAAATCTGGTTGACGTGGAACCCTGTTAAAATTCATATAAAATCAATTATTAGCTAAGGAGTTTCATGGATTTTATATAATTTTGGAACTGAACCGACTCACACTTTCAGTTGACGAAGTGGCGGATCGGCTTTGATAGCTATGGCCTTGCGACCGCCAATCACAACCACCTCCTGCACTTTGGGCGAGCGTCTTAGAGCCCTGTTGTTGTTGTACACCTCTGCTGGCGGTTGCTGGCCAGCCACTTCAACCTCTTCACCGATCTCCATCAGGCTACCTTCACTCTCATCATCCTCATCCTCATGATCATCATCGTGGTCCTCTTCCTCCGGTTGCGGCTCGTTTTTCTCAGATTCCCTCTGCTTCTTTCGCTTGATCTTGGAACACCTCTGTAATTAAAGGAAACTCATATTACATAAACATTTTCCTTGAAATTCATGACGAATTTCTTACTTGACATATATTAGTCTTGGCCGAGGTCTGCTTGGTGCCAGGCGGATTCAGGGGACCCTGGCAATAAACACAGGCAACGATCTTTCCGCTGGACGCACTCGATGCTTGCTTGGACATAAAGCTACGGGTTGGACAAGATTGTAAGTACATTCAAAAGGTTGTTTTAATTACAGATATATCTACCTCCTCTTGCGATTAGAGCTGGACGCATTCGGTGTACCGGTCGTTGAGCTGTTGCCATTACTGGAGGCAAGGACACGGGAATTTCCCTTAACCGCCATGGTGGCAGTCCATCCCTCGCTCGGTGGACTGGCTCCCTTGGGTACCTTTGGCTTCGACACACGCTTTCCGGTGACAGGCGGCGTAACGGGCTGTCCAACTGTCTGCTGACTCTTGCTACGAAATACACTGGACGGCATAGCACGACGCACTAGCTCGAATTTCGGACCCACCTCCTGTGGCAGACGCTGGAAACAAAAGTGTTCGATGGTCAGCTCGCCCTCTAACAGAGGTGCAATATCCTCGCGTGATCGCAACTTTCGTCCGTTGGGCGCAATAAAAAAGACATCACCGACACGACGATTCGGATTCCCAGTGCTGGGAAGGACGAGCTCACGCTTCCAACCATAGGCAAAGGGTAAACGATAGAACTCATCGGTGGCTTTCAATTTCAGGCCCGGGGTTGTAGGCTGTACGTCCACGGTTTTAACTTTAGTCTGCTTGCTAGTGGTGGCAACCTGTACAGCTGGCTTTTGCGGTTCCTCTTCCTGGCTTTTAAAACGGGAAAGGCGCGGTGTCAGCTTATCCGAGGAGGGACGACTACAAAAAGACTTTGAGCGCGCCGCAAGTCGACCGAATACATTTTTTTTCTCATTTTTCTTGTTACTTTTGTCCAGTGGGACTTTAGGTTCGCTATCTTCCTTCGTTTTTTTGATATCTTTCTTGGCGTCCTCCAGCTTGGTATCCGGAGTGATTGCTTCTTTGTTGACTGGCGATGAAAGAGGCGGCGGCGGCGGGGACGACGACGACGACGAAGACGACGGCGACTTAGATACCAAGGGGACACTTGAGCTGCCCTCATCTTCGGCCACCACCAGGGGTTCAACTTGTTCCTCATCATCTTCAATCTCTGTCGGCTGCTCCATCTCCATTTCCTCCTCCTAAGGGGGGAGACACAAGCGAGAGAGAAGGTCAATGGTTAGTGGGTTTGTGACTTTCCCGACTCTAAGCATAAGATTTTTGTTGGGGTCTCCACCTGGTTATCTAATTGTGTCTGTTGGACGTTGTTTGCTGTTGTCCCTGGACATGATGTTGTTGCACTACCAGCTGTGTTAGGACTGTTGTTGCTGTTGCTAGTTGTTGTAGTTGCTATAGTTAAATTACTACTTGCTTCAGTCCCTAAAGTGATCGACTGTTCAGGCTCTGGTTGTTGGTGTGGTGACGTTGATATCGTCATTATCAAATCAGAATTGGAGGACAGAGAGGACTCGACCGGCGATGTCATCATTGTCGATGGTGGCGGCGGTGATGCTGCTGCTAGCGACTGTTGATGCTGCTGGTTGTGGTGCTGCTGCTGCTCCTCAGCCATTTTAGCCATATCAGGAGTCGTCTCTGTTGTCCCTGCTGATGATGTCGCAGCTTGCGGTTCCACTCTCGGAAACACCATTAGGCCACTTCTACCCAATTCCAGAAGAGCGCCAGGCGACTATTGTCGTCATGGATGTTGGTTGTTGGGTGTTTACAGTACGGTTGAAATTTGTGATGTGAGGCACAGGTTCAGTTACGGGTCGATACATACAATAATACAGAACAAACAAAATGCTGTCCGCATTCTACAGAACACACAGAAATAGGAACTGGCATAGCCCTCTGTATATCATTTACTCAATTATCAATATTGTATTATTTACTTGAAAATAAACATAGGTATCAACCTATAAGCAAATCTGATCCTATGGCTAATGTATGGAGTCAATAGTTGAAATTTTTTAATCGCATTATTATTCAAAATTCGTATCTTTCAAGAGTTTAGTTGGGGCAAAAAGTTAGAAAACCTTAACAAGATAATTTGCCAAATATCAAAGTTAAAACTTAAAATTCAATTTGTAAATTAAAAAGAGACAATTTCTTTAAAAATATAACAATATATGCTTCAACCTGTTATTAAAATTTTATAAAAATTGATTTGAGAAATAAAAAACTGAAATTATATATATTTCTAAATAAATATTTAAATATACATTTAAAAAAAAAACTCTTGTTTTGTATGGTATTTGATTATACAGAGAAATATTCCAAAGGCCTGAACAGGCAGGCTCTATTCTTTCCCTTCCTGCACAACTTTGCCATCCCCGGTACTCACCTGTGACTCTGTATCCGAGCTATTATCTAAGTTGGCAATTGGTGTTAACTTCGGGAATTCACCAGTCCAGCCCATTAAAGCGGAATCGCCGGATATATAGCGTTTACGGCGACGGCGATTCTTCTTTTTCTTCTTCTTGGACTTGGGAGGTCCTCCTATAAATATCATGAAGAAACGAATATGGATTAGATCCAAGTTCTTCCTTCCAGAAAGTTACAGAATTGCCACTCACCATTCATATCCACTCCATTTTGCTGATCGGACTCGTTGGAGTCATCGTGACGATGGCCATTCATCTGCGGTGATGAAGAGCTAGTTGTATCGTTTTCCTCGCTTATAGATGCATCCAAGGCCACACCATTTGCATTGGCCACCAGCAGACGGTCGCGTAAGTTGCTTGGTCCCACGTCAAGACTATGTCCATCTAAGGGGCTACGATTTGAGATGGGAGATTCTCTGTTAGCAATGCCACGTCCACCATGGCTAGTAGTTGGCGGCGATGGTTGCGACTTGGAATCAGTGCTGGATCTGCGTGGTGAGCTCTGGACGAGCGGTTTTGATGGTCCAGGAATATCATCGGGCGAGCTCATTGTGCTCTAAAAATTAATTAATTGAATTAGTGAAAATTGTTCAAATTACTCAACTAATACGGAAGTAATGGTATGATAGTTCCGTTGTCAGCTTTCAAAATGGGAGTTATGGGACTGACAATATTTTTTGACATGTCACGACATGAAATGTCGTCAATGGAAATGCATGCTTTGTTGTAATGAAAAAAGTCACCATTTTTTAGTACATGTCAATTTTTTACTATGAAAATATGTGCATTTTACATATCCACATATTTTCATAGCCAAATTTTGACACTTGCTAAAAAAGGGCGATAAAAAACTTCGGAAAATGTAGTTTTATGATAATAATACCTTAATAATCGTTACATTAAATATATATTTTGTGGTTTTGGCTATTTATTTCAAAGCCTCAATGCATATTTAGCTAAAACATTAATATGTATATTCAATATGTGAAGTACAGATTTAGCGGTAACCAGCAGTGCCGGTATTTTATAGAATTGCATTTTCAATAGAAATGCATAGTAATATGTATATTAAACCTCTACCACTTTCCTTTTTTTTTACATGTCAAATTTGACAGAAGATCTTTATGCATTTGTATGCGTGCGCCAGCCTCAACAATTTTTGGCAAAACCGTGCAGGTACCATATATACATGCATATGTATGTATATACCGTATGTGTGCGTGAGCGGCATCGCGGTTTGTTTTTGTTTCGTTTCTGCTTTGCTCGCTCGCTACCCCCTGAAGAGCACTCTTAGTTTTAAGGCAATGTTATTACACACATACCCTTCCAATCTTTTTGTTGCACATTAACTGCACAATTCCTAATTGGACATTGCATAAAATACACAAATTTTTATTAAAAACGAAAATAGAAAATGTGAAAGCACTATTGGCCCTATCGCACTTTTACGTTGCGTTTATCGCGCTTTGCTTTTGAAGCTTCTTCGGCTCCCCACAAGCTAGCACCGCAGATGTGTGAGTATTGCGTTGTGTCTGTATGGATGCGCGAGTGACGCCAATTACCGCGGCCACAAAATCTGTCACTTTACCGGCTTTAGATTGTTATAATTCATTAGTACGCGATATTTTCCAGCTTACCTTATGTCTTAGCACACAAATATGTCACAATTAAATTAAACTTTCAGGCCAATTTCTTTGAAAAAGTGAAGCCGAAAATAACGAGCTATCAAATGAAAACTCGTTGTATGTTAGATTCGTGAAAAATCCCGGCAAAGATTATTCGATATTATCGAAGGGATTTTGGGAAAAATCCCGCCGTTCTAGTATTTCATTTTAAAATACTAAATATTATATTAAGAATTTTTATTAAGTGGAAATAAGAACCAATATATGCTCGGTAAGCATTAAAGACATTGCAGGACATTAAAAGTTGTTATTTTATTTTTAAAAATCTACTAAGACATGATTTGATTATATCAATAGTTTTGGAAATTTTATACATTTATCGATAAGCTGAGCTACGACTTTTAAATCAATCGAATACTTAAAAACTACATTTTCTTTAAATTTTCAAATTCACTACCAATTTGTTCAAAATATTATTTTTTGTGATATTAAACGCCTTTTTATAAAATAATAATAGTTTGTATAATTGCTGGCATTGTTATCGATAGTCTCCCAAAAAACATCGAGTGCAATCATCCCTGGCGACACAACTGGTTGTGTATATATGTATGTATATGTCTATATTACATACCTATATAATATTGCCAGCTCTGCACGTGAAATCCGAAGGCGGCGAAAGTAATCTGTGATCAAATCAAGTGAGTTTATATGCTAAATCTACGCTTCATATACTATATAACACCACATATCCATAGAAATGTCCAAGGCCAAGGGTAAAAAGAAGGATCGTTTCGATGACGACGATGAGCAGTTGGAGAAAGTACAGGAGAAGAAACCGCCGACGAACAAGAAGGGCGGAAAGAAGGGCAAGCGTGGCGGCGATTCCAGCGACGAGGATGTCATTCCCAAAAACCGGGACAACGAGGATCTGGAGAGTATAGCCTCCTCAAATCAGAGCAAACAGCAGACGGCTGGCAAAAAGCAAGCTAAGAAGGGCAAAAAGGGAAAGAAAAACGACGACTGGAGCGACGAGGATGAAAAGCCAGTAAAGGGTCGGCCCGCCAATGACCAGGATGATGAGGATGACGACGAGACGCCTCCTCCATCCAAACCAGCTGCCAAAAAGCCACCGCCCAGCAAGAAAAACAAGAAGAACAAAAAGAAGAACGACGATTTCTCCGACGATGAGGAACCCGAATTAGACTTGGAGGAGCTGGAAGATGAGGAAGAGGTGGTTGTTGTGGCCGCTAAACCCGCATCCAAGAAGTCGAAAAAGAAGCAGCAGGCTCAGCAGAAGAACAAATTCGCTATGAGCGATGATGATGATGACGTCGCTGAAGATCTCCAAGATGACGACGACGAGGAGGAGGAACAGCTGTCCGTCAAGCCGGCGGCTAAGAAGTCAAAGAAGAAGCAGCAGAAAGAGAAACTGCCAGCCACCGAGGACGAAGAAGAGCCCGAGGATGAGGATGAACAACCCGAGAAGGAAGTGGAGGAGAAAAAGGCAGAACAAGTCCTTAGCGAAAAAGTCGCTGCAGTGAGTCTCAAGGAAAAGACTCCCGAACCTATAGCGGAACCCGTACCCGAACCAGAACCTGAAGTCGAGGACGAACCAGAAACTGAGGCGGAACCCAAGTCCGAGGACAGTAAAGAAACTAAGGAGAAGAAACTCACCCACAAGGAGAAGAAGAAGCAAAAGAAACAACAGGAGTACGAACGCCAAATGGAGTTGATGACCAAGAAGGGCGGTGCCGGACACTCTGATTTAGACAACAATTTCACCATGTCCCAGGTGCAGAAAAGTGCTGGTCAACAAGCAGCTCTGGAGCATGCCGTAGACATCAAGATCGAGAATTTCACCATCTCAGCCAAGGGTGAGTCATTCATACGTAATTTTTTAGTATATTATATATTAAACCTCTAACCTCTTCCCATTTTTAATCTAGGCAACGATCTGTTTGTGAATGCTAATCTATTGATTGCCCATGGACGTCGTTATGGCTTAGTTGGTCCCAATGGACACGGCAAGACCACACTTCTCCGGCACATTGCCACCCGTGCCTTTGCCATACCTCCAAATATCGATGTTCTGCTTTGCGAACAGGAAGTAGTGGCCACCGACAAAACGGCCATCGATACGATTTTAGAAGCTGATGTCCGACGCACAGAGATGCTTAAAAAGGCAGATGATCTGGAGAAACAGTTTGCCGCTGGCGATTTGAGTGTTCAGGAGGAGCTAAACGATACCTTTACGGAGCTGAAAGCTATTGGAGCTTATTCGGCAGAAGCCAGGGCAAGGAGAATCCTGGCCGGTTTGGGTTTCAGCAAGGAAATGCAGGACAGGCCAACTAACAAGTTCTCTGGTGGCTGGCGCATGAGAGTGTCTCTGGCTCGTGCTCTCTATCTGGAGCCCACGCTGCTCATGCTTGACGAGCCTACCAATCACTTGGATCTTAATGCTGTGATTTGGCTGGATAACTATCTGCAGGGCTGGAAGAAGACCCTGTTGATCGTGTCCCACGACCAGAGTTTCTTGGACAATGTGTGCAATGAGATTATTCATTTGGACCAAAAGAAGTTGCAATACTACAAGGGCAACTACTCCATGTTCAAGAAGATGTATGTGCAGAAGCGCCGTGAAATGATCAAGGAGTACGAGAAGCAAGAGAAACGCCTGCGGGAGCTAAAGGCTCATGGCCAGTCGAAGAAGGCGGCGGAGAAGAAGCAAAAGGAGTCGCTCACTCGCAAACAGGAGAAGAACAAGTCCAAGCAGCAGAAACAGGACGAAGATGAGGGACCACAGGAACTGCTGGCCAGGCCCAAGGAATATATCGTTAAGTTCCGCTTCCCGGAGCCATCGCAACTTCAGCCACCCATTTTGGGTGTCCATAACGTAACCTTTGCCTTTGCTGGCCAAAAGCCGCTGTTCATCAAGGCTGACTTTGGTATTGATCTTACCAGTCGAGTTGCCATCGTGGGACCCAATGGTGTGGGCAAATCTACTTTCCTGAAGCTGCTGCTCGGCGAACTGGAACCGCAGGAGGGCGAGCAACGCAAGAATCATCGCCTCCACGTAGGTCGATTCGATCAGCACTCCGGTGAGCATCTCACGGCAGAGGAATCGGCCGCAGAGTATCTGCAGCGTCTGTTCAATTTGCCGCATGAAAAGGCGCGCAAGGCATTGGGTTCCTTTGGTCTGGTCAGTCATGCCCATACCATTAAAATGAAGGATCTGTCCGGTGGTCAGAAGGCGCGTGTGGCCCTAGCCGAGCTTTGTCTTAGTGCACCCGATGTCCTGATTCTCGATGAACCTACCAATAACCTGGATATCGAGAGTATCGATGCCTTGGCGGAGGCCATTAATGAATATGAAGGTGGCGTGATTATCGTTTCCCACGACGAGCGTTTGATCCGTGAAACGGGCTGCACTCTGTATGTGATTGAGGATCAGTCGATTAACGAGATCGACGGAGAGTTCGATGATTACAGGAAGGAGGTACTCGACTCACTGGGCGAGGTGGTCAACAATCCTAGCGTGGTAGCTAATGCGGCTGTGCTGCAATAACCCTCAGGGACTTGGAGTCCTTGCCACTGGTCATCATCTCGTCAGCCGGCTCGCCCTATGTTAATTGTTCAAATGTTGAATGGTTTATCCGCTAGTTAGCCTTTTTATACCAACATATACACTAAAGAATAACAAATTGTGAAAGTAAGAGTTATCACACAAGAAAGGTGAAGAAATATTTGTTTATACTAACACTATGGGATTTATGGAAATATAGGGACAGGATTTCAAATAGCAAATACTTGCCACTTGGAGTTTAAGGATTGAACATTATATATCCAAAAGCCTTGGTTCAATCAAGGATTTAGATTGGCGTTCTAACGGCTCAAAGCCCCACAAGATATTGGATGGAATCTTTTTTAATCGGTTTTTCTTTATTCATGTCCTGAGACAAATACATAAAAGACACACATGCAGTAGATTCAATATGCATGCTAAAAATTTAACGCATCCTGATTTTAAAATGTATAATAACAAAATTAAGGAGAGTTTCGAATAATCTACAAATAGTTCTTATGTCTAAGTATGAAACTAAATCTTAGCCGCTGCGATAGAAAGCCTTCACATTGTTGATCAAGTGGCTCAGCCCATTATAGCCATCCTTATCAAAGTCGATTTTCTCGCCGCCGAATTCAATGACCTGGAAAGCAGAGAATGTGGATTAAGCACCATTTACCAGTTTTCTTAAATGAGCAAGTGCACCCACCTCCTTGGCCCTGATGGTGTCTGTACCATGGGGCACTCCAATGACCTCCACCCAAGCACCATCGGTGGCACTTAATTCTCCCGGCAAATTGATCTTCAGCTTATGGTTATCCGTAGAAGTAGCCAGCAAAGTGGATCCAGCCACGCTATCTACGCAAACCATTATGCTAATGGTTTGTCCGGAAAACTGTTTCAGCATGCCGCCGTTAATAATTGAACGAGGATCAAAGGCATCCATAGCTTTTCTGTTGTTTATTACGGGTTACTAAGTTAGGTTTGCCAATTTTAGCAAAAAATGAAATGCCGTAAACAAGAAAGAGCGCCAATAATACTATCAAGTCAGCGATGACAGATGTCGATAATATTAGCTATGTTCTGCCATCGATAGTATTGGGTAAAAAATATACATAAATATGTATTTTTATGGTAACCGGAAATAATTAAACAATCAAGTTATATGACTGTTTATTAACCAATGAGATTTAGTTTGCTGCGCATAATAAATCTTAAAATGTAATAAATGTATCGATAAGTAATTTTTTCAAGTGCGATCCCTATATGTTTGAAAAACTTTTAAATTTGTTATGTAAATATATAAATTTAGGAAAATCTCTACTATTACACACAAAGATAGAAACAAAAGAATACCTATAAGAATACATATAAATTCACTTTTCAATGACATCGATATTACACCAAATGCCAAACGAAATGCATTTCAGTGAGAACATGCTAATTCCACGACGACATCTAGTTACATCGATGTATCGATAGTTTTTAGCCTGGCCAACCGAACCAATGTTTATTGTTATAAAATAAATGTTAAAAATAAACAATTAATCACTTAATATAAACAAAAACTAGTGCAAGCAGCAAGTGCGTTGTAAAAACATCCCCCGTTCCTTAATCTTACCTCATTGCGGGTATTAAAAAAACAGAACAACAAAAACGCCAGCAGTAGCAGCAGCAGCAACAACAACAATAAGCAGGAGATTCAGATTCGCAACGCAATCAAAAAAAAACGAAAAAAAAACTACAAGGCGAAACGCATAAATAAATAGGGAAACAAATAATAGTAATAATAAGACTAAAAGCAAATGGAAAAGTACGAAAGCGAAAAGAGAAAACATATGTACGTTGCGTGAGAGTGACGTGAGTGTGTGTGTGCAAGCGGGCGTACGAAAGAGATAGAACTATAGAGGGGAGGCAAGCAAAAACAAAAACAACATCACAGCATAAGCGAGACCTTGAAAACTTTAAAAGCAGCAGCAAAAACAACACACAAAAATATCAAAAAAAAAAAAAAAAATCCAAAAAAACAATAAGCTGAAAATATATATAAAAAAAAAGAAAAAATTTTAACAACAAATATTTTTATATACAATTTTATAGAGGAGAGGAGCGTAGACTCTGTTATGGAGAGTGACGATTTTCATTTACCGCAAGGCGCCAATTAAAGGGGAAAATCCATAAAGTGAGGATTGCAAAAGGAATACAAAAAAAAGGCAAACACCACCCCCTGCCACCCCCCGGAAAATTCAAAATGGCAGCAGCAGAGGCGGGCAACACGGGCAGTACAGGCTCGACAGGATCAGGATCAGGAACGGGCAGCTCCTCGGATCCTGCCAACGGACGAGAGGCTCGCAATCTTGCCGAGAAACAGAGGCGGGATAAGCTAAATGCCAGCATCCAGGAGCTGGCCACCATGGTCCCTCATGCAGCGGAATCCTCTCGTCGCCTGGACAAAACCGCCGTCCTCAGATTTGCCACCCATGGCCTGAGACTTATGTATGTCTTTGGCAAATCCGCATCTAGGCGACGCCGAAAACCCAGCCTCAAAGGTTCTGGATTTTCTGGTTCACCTGTCGGAGATCTTCCCAATCCCAGTCTACATCTAACGGACACCTTAATGCAACTGCTGGACAGCTTTTTCATTACTCTAACCTGTAGTGGCCAAATCGTTTTGGTCTCGTCCAGCGTGGAGCAACTATTGGGTCACTGTCAATCCGATTTGTATGGCCAGAATCTGCTACAGATCACCCATCCCGAAGATCAGGCCCTACTAAGGCAACAATTAATACCCAGAGATATCGAGACGTTGTTCTACCAGCAGCATCCGCACCACCAACAGCAGGGCCCTAATCCTCAACAGCACTCGACTTCCACATCAGCGTCAGCATCTGGCAGTGACTTGGAGGAGGAGGAAATGGAGACGGAGGAACATCGTCTGAATGAGGAGCACCGTCAGCGAAGGGAGGAGGAGGAAGAAGATGATGAAGATAACCCTTACAATCGACGTACGCCAAGCCCACGGAGAATTGCCCATTTGGCTGCCATTGATGAACGCCTGCGTACCGATCGGCGCTGCTTCACTGTCCGCGTGGCCAAAGCATCCACGCGAGCGGAGGCCACGCGTCACTATGAACGGGTTAAGATTGATGGCTGCTTTCGTCGTAGTGACTCTTCCTTGACCGGTGGAGCTGCTGCCAACTATCCCATTGTTTCCCAGTTGATAAGACGTTCGAGGAACAATAATATGCTGGCTGCAGCAGCAGCTGTGGCAGCAGAAGCGGCGACAGTACCGCCTCAACACGATGCCATTGCCCAGGCGGCACTTCACGGGATCAGTGGCAATGACATTGTCCTAGTGGCCATGGCTAGGGTGCTGAGGAAGGAGCGTCCGCCAGAAGAAACGGAAAGTCCGGTTGGCATGACCATTTATAGGCAACCAGAACCCTATCAACTGGAGTATCAAACGAGGCATCTAATCGACGGCAGCATCATTGACTGTGATCAGAGAATTGGTCTAGTGGCGGGCTATATGAAGGATGAGGTGGGTATACTAAGATCTTCTTTCAATCTAACTAGTAATTAATAATATTTTTGTTAATTCAAAACAGGTGCGAAACCTTAGCCCCTTCTGTTTCATGCATCTGGATGATGTGCGCTGGGTTATTGTGGCTCTTCGGCAAATGTACGATTGTAATAGTGACTATGGCGAGAGCTGCTATCGTTTGTTGTCCCGCAACGGACGCTTTATCTACCTGCACACCAAGGGCTTCCTTGATATTGATCGTGGCAGCAATAAGGTTCACTCTTTCCTTTGCGTCAACACACTGCTCGACGAGGAGGCTGGTAGGCAAAAGGTGCTGGAGATGAAGGAGAAGTTCTCGACAATCATTAAAGCAGAAATGCCAACGCAAAGTAGCAGTCCTGACTTACCAGCATCCCAGGCGCCGCAACAACTAGAAAGGATTGTACTCTATCTAATAGAGAATCTACAGAAGAGTGTTGATTCTGGCGAGCCAGTTGGTGGACAGCCCATTGAAAGTCTAATGGATGATGGCTATAGCTCACCAGCGAATACATTGACGCTGGAGGAGCTAGCACCTTCGCCTACACCTGCATTAGCCTTAGTGCCGCCGGCTCCATCTTCGGTCAAGAACTCAATTTCCAAATCGGTGAGTGTGGTCAATGTGACAGCGGCAAGGAAATTTCAGCAGGAGCATCAAAAGCAACGCGATCGAGATCGTGAACTGATCAAGGAGCAACGCAATAATCCCACACAGAGTGTCATCCGGCAATTGAGCAGTTGTCTAAGTGAAGCGGAAACTGCATCCTGTACTCTATCACCGGCCAGTAGTTTAAGTGCCGGTGAAGCGCCAGATACGCCTGATCCTCACAGCAATACATCGCCACCGCCGACGCTTCATGCCCGGCCCAGTGTCCTGCATCGGACCTTGACCAGTACACTGCGATGACGGGCTAATGGATCGTGGTATGCCTTCTAATTGGGGTTGGAAATGGACGCCATTAGTAGCTCACAAATGCACCTATAACTAAGTATCGGTAATATAATCAATCCAAGCCAAATCGAAAGTGAAAACCCAAAATGTATCAGAAAAGTAATGGAAATTAATCAAATTTTAGAGCCCCAAAATCAGGATTTACAAATGTTATGGTTTCTCGTATATATTCATCCCAAGTTTTTACAACAGTCATTATAATTTTGCACTTTAATTTGTTTATATAAAACCTTGTCTTGCAAATGCAATTAAAAATATAAAAATCAGAACTTGTAATCAGCAGGGCTGTAATTTCATATGGAAATTCCCATAAAATCTGGTTTTTTAAACTCACTTCTTAACTTGTTCGAAATGCTATCATTATCATAAACAAATTTCTATATATTAACATATCCCAGAAAATAGTTTCATTAAAGTTTACAAACTATGATTATGTGTGAAGAAGATAAAGGCAAAATCAGGGCGCATTTATTTTGATATTATGACAGTAATAATAATCCGATCACGATCGATTGAAAGAAGATACATTTTGGGTATATTTGGCTGATAACTGATCACTGATTTTGCAAGTGATATTAGATACATAATAGTTCGATTATAATATGCTATAATTGAAGGCCGATCTGTGTGTGTTGCTGCTAAATGCGTTCCATAATCAATAATCTTCGTTATGTAATTACTTTTAATTTGTAAATATGTGTGTGTGTTTGATTGTGAGTGTATGTGTGTGTGTGTGTGTGTATGAATATTAGATCAGTGCTCGGCTTTGGTTTTTAGTTGAAATTTTAAACCCCATTTCCCGATTTCCCAGTTAACACCCTCCGCCCTCCGCACATCATTATGAAAAAAGAGTACAAAAAAAAAACAACAAATAATTATATATTTATTTTGCCCTAAGACTAGAAAAGGCTAAAAACAACTCATTAATAGTTAAACGGATTTTGCAATCGTTGGAAATTAAACGCTCGATTTTGTTTTTGCCATCTTAGTTGCAGAAAAAGAAGGGAGAGGGAAGACCACCTACAGTCAAACTTCTCTAAATCGAAACTTAAGGTCTTGGGAATGCTTGAAATTTTTTATTTGGTTTTAATGCTTGTTAAAAGTTTAAAATTTGAAGTTATATGTTATTTTTATTTTAAATTTAAATAACTAAAATATTTTTAGTATTTTTTTTAGAAAAACAACCACTAAAGTTAGCTAAATTTTCTTAAAATAATTTTAGTTTAGAAGTTGTTCTATGCAAATTTTAAAAAACAAAGGCTTTAATAAAAATTTTATTATTTAAAATAAGACAAAATTGAGCTAAAAAAATTATCCAATGCAAAAACAAAAAACGAATAATAACCAATTGTGTTCAGCAAAAAAAAAACTATTTTTTAAAAGTCACAATTAGATTGCAGCTATTTTTGTTTTAGTTTCAAAGAACTAATCTTATCTTTCGAACGTGCACCAAATATCATTCGGAATGACTTAACAACTTTATCATGTTATACATGAAAATTTAGGAAAATGGAAAATTTAGGAATATTCTATTAAAAAAGGAGTCTGTTTAGGGAATTTTCTATATTTGAAAAGTATAAAAAAGGACAGAAAAGGTTCGACCTAGCGAAGTTTGACTGTAGTTCAATACTCACAATGACAGAGAAGGAGCAAACATAATCCCCTCTCGCTCTAACCTGTTATCAAAGCCTTTGCCATCGTCCTTGACGTTCTTGCGTTCTTATCACCGGCGTATATATGGTTTTTTTTGGGGGGAAATGATATTTAAGAGGCGGTGGGTGGTTTATTTTGGGTGGCGATGGGCATTGCGAACGGTGGAGGGCGCGTAAGAAGGGGGGTTAACTTTTCGTTAATTTTTTCTAATGTTTTATAGCGAAATTCTTTTCTAGCTATAAACTTATGCATATATATATATTATTATTATTAACTTTTCGTTTAGCTCAATTTTTTGTTTGTATGTTTAATTATTACTCGGTTTATCTAGTGTGTAAAATTAATTAAAATTTAATTAATGCTAATTACCCAGCGAATCGTTCAGTGTTTGTTCAAACGAGTTGTGCTCTTTAAACACTTTTGGTTTATCCCTTCATTTAATCTTTTTTTTTGTTTGTTTCCCTTGCGTTGTTATTTGACTCCCCCCTCCCCCACAACAAAAAAAAAACAAAAACAAAAATTAAACAAAACGAAGTTTTTTTTGTAGTAATTTAGTTTTAAGTGTAATGTGAAATGTCAAGCGGTATAATCTACGTAAGAATAATAATGTGTAATGTCTTTTTTAGAACTTGCTAAACGTTAGCAATTAAAAAATAGCCTGTAATTAACAATAATTAATTATAATAATCAGTAACAGTAATAATAAATTATATAAATGATTTATGTCTTTTTATTGGTGGTACAAATATTTGCGACGATAATAGTTTATGTGCAATAATAAAATAAAATAGGTTATTATTGATTGTCATATAAGTAAAAATTTAAAATAAGCTTTAAATAATATTCACCAGATGGTGAATAGCAACAGTAATAACAGCAATATTTGTTAGAAGAGTTCAGCTAGTAATGCTGCATATTTCAAAAATCTTTGGCGCTCTTTTAAATAAAAATATATCCCAGTTATTATTTAAAAATTTCTATATATTCCTTATGCTGAGAAACAAAATGTAGGAATTATTAACTTAATAATGCCATTACGAATATTATTATAAAACATTTGAGATCTACATAAAGAGGAAAAAAGTAAATATACGAGTTTCAATGAAGTGGCCAGCTGTTCGAATTTGAGGTGAATTGGGGAGAGGTGAGTTTGGATTTAATTTTCGGCCAATATCTACATATATTATTTTGTTTTCTACCTTAATAAGTTTCAGTATAAATAAATATAAACAAAACCACACTTAAAAACATAGTTTTTCATGCACAAAAACAAAATTTGAACAATACTATTAAGAGTTTACTTTAAAAGCAAACAATGTAAGCTTTAAAAACCTTTCATGAATTAAATATTATTTTAATAACAAATTCCATCGCTTTTCTAACAGTTAGCTTATTTTTTATTTACAAACAATTAAAAAACTAACATTTATTTGAAATGCGCGCGCTACCAAAGTGCAGCCTATGGCTGTCCTGTTCTAACGCCCAGCAGCCAAATAACGGTGGTGTTGCAGCAGAAATCCACCATTGCGGTGAATCCACCAAATCCACCATCACCACACACCGTGGGATGCTCAGGTGAATCGGAGTGTCTGCGATTCCGAATCAGATTCCAATTCAGTGTGGTGAAGAGCGAACGGGAGTGCGGACGGACGTGAGATCTATTTAAGCGGCCCGCAAAACGCTCGAAAAACGCAAAATTTGTTGATTGTCCGTTCCGCTGTGTCTCCTCAGTGTTAGTGTGTGTGTTTTGCGTCGCGTGTCTGCGTGTGCGTGTGCGTGTCCGTGTGTCGGTGTTCGTTTTTTGTTATTTTTTTTTTAACAACGACAACAACAGCAGAAAAAAAGGAAAAATAAATGAAATACACAAAAATTACGGTGTATATATTTAAATGATTTTGTTTTTGGTGGCGTGTTGAATGAGAAAATTTGAGAAACGCAGTGAAAAAAACGTAAGAAATGCTGAAATAAAGCTTAAAGTAAAAGCAGAAATTGAGAGTTGTTTGCTTGTAGGTGTATGTGTGTGTGTGAGTGTGTGTCTTGTGTGCAACAATAATAACAAAAAAACACAGCTAGAAAGAGGGGGGCAGACAGAGACAGAGCGAGAGAGGTAGAAGCAACACCTACGCAGCTTATTTTTTTTGTTATTTCTTTTTTGGCATGCCGTTGCTTTCTCTCTTTTACACTCGCAGCAGCCTCATTTGAATATTTTGTTGTTGTGCGGCAAATTTCTCCACTTCCTGTTCTCTTTCGGCATTTTTGGGGGATTATTTATTTTTTGTATTTGTTGTTTCTGCATCCCAAAACAACTCTTAAATAATCAATATAAAGTGCAAAAAATAAAAATTTCCAGTCGCATTAAAGAAACTTGTCCCACATTCAGCAAATAAATAAGAAGTGAAGAAATACGTTAAAACAAAACTTGTTTTGTTTTGTTTTTGTGTTTTATGTGTCGAGATCATAAAGCTCTCTCTCTTACTCTGTGTGCGCGTCCCCTCCTTCGCGCTGTCTTTCGCTCTCTCTTTCCGCCGAGCAAAAGGAAGAAAAAAAAGATCAATCAAATCAATCTGCTCTTCTTCTGCTTTTCTTCTGCTCTCTTCTCCTCTCTTTGCAACAAAGTTGAAGGTCTTTTTTGCATGGCAATGTTGCCAGGCGCCAAAAACAACAACAAATTGCAACAATAATAAAACATGCAGAGAAACGAAAGTTTAGATAAAAGCAAAATTAGAAGAATCTTATAAAATGAGTTTTTATTTAAATTAAAATAAAATTTAATAACAATTTAATCAATTTATTTATAGTAAAGAATTAAAATTATTTATTTAAATGAAGTTTAGGAGAATTTTGTTCAGTGCATCGTTTTGATATTGCAAAACTGGTTTTAAAGCGCTTTAGTTTTATTTATTTTTCATATTTATTTGTTTTATTTGCTGGCTGCGATATTTTAAATATTTCAATGACGTCAGCGGAGGCTAAATTGTTGATCAGCGTTTTTGATTTGGTTTTTCCTTTTTTTTTTTTTTCCTTTTTTTGTGTTTATTTTTGCAAATGCACAAGACAGTGCAATTAATTAGCACTTATCTGCGATAAAGATTTAAATAAAATTAATGCATTGAATGAACGCCCAGTCCCGGATTTAAAACTGGAATATAACGGGAATTTAAAAGCTATTTGTTCTTGGATTTTGTTCTTGTTAACTAAAAAGTTAATATAAAGTATTATTTTCTATGAAATTCTATGATAAAAAGTGAACTCTATTAACTTGTGAGCCTATAATTACCAAGAGGTAACCTTTTATTAGGTTCAATTTTTAAAATTTACTTGATTTTATATATAACTTTTAAGTTATATTTATTTTTGCATTTATGACCTAAATATAGGCAAATTCCACTGTCAAGAAATATAGAAACAAGTCTCAGAAAAATATGTAAAAAAAAAACCAACAAAAGCTTTTGGCGCAAGCGCAAAGTGTTGACCAACAAAAAGAAGAGGAAGCAGAGCAGGTAGAGAACAAGACAGCAATATCTATCTATCTCACACCTACAATCTTTTCTTATTTATAATTCATATTTACTCTCTTTCAGATCACAACAAAAATGTTTTAAAAATTTTATATAAAAAAAAAGGAAACTAAATTCTTAACGATTGGATAAAAATATTTTAAAATTTTTACCGTGCTGCCGACTATAAAATAAAATTATGAAAACAATGCATTTAATTAAAGTTAAGACTAAACTCGCGCTGAAAATGCCCGAAATCGAAAGAAACTAGCAAAAAGTCCAAAACCAAAAATCGCACAAAAAAATATTGCAAAGCTATAAATAGCAACAGCAACAACAACAACAACAACAAGAAAGCCAGACAACAAAAGAGAGCCAGGAGCAGAAAACCAGCAACAAAAAAGAAACCAACAAAAAAAAACAGCAAAACGACGGCCCAAAAATGTTGTACCAGCTAAGTAAAGCCACTACTAGAATCCGACTCAAAAGGCAAAAAGCCGTTCCACAACATTGCTGGCTCTGGAGTTTAGCATTTCTGGCAGCATTTACTCTAAAGGTAAGCGAAAGAGTTAAGAAACATGGCCAAAAACACAATAGCGGGTGGATATTTAGATACCAAGATCATAGGTGATTGTGGGTTTAGTTTTTGAAATGTTTTGAATGAGGGAAAACTTGTTTTAAGTTGGTCTTTTAATATGATATATGTTATTTTTCGTGATGAAGATTAGTCTTAGGCTAGGGTGGGTTATATATCTGCCATATTATAGGGATATCTGATTGATATTTTGTATTTTTTTTATTATATTTTGATTTTTGTTCACAAAATAACCAAAAAAGTTAAGTTTTTATTTGGAAAAAGATCTTATATCCTAGGATCTATTCCTTAACTTCAATCTTGCTAATAACAAGGCCCTTAATTTACCTTTCTTTAGACTCTTGATGGTCAAAAAAGTTAAGGGAAAACCCAATAAAACTTCAGATACTATCTAAGTTTTGATATTTAGAAGGAAAGATTACATACTAAATCAAAATTCTTCTCCTGTTTCGAGTTTGTAAAAAGTTTCTTAGTAAATATTCTCATTTAAGGACAAAAATTTTCATAAAATTGAAGCAAACATCAACATTTACTCAATTAACTTTCCGCATTTTAGAGCCAATCAATGCAGAAAGATTGTGCAAACATTGGCCAGACATATTTATTTATTTCTGACCCCACATTTTCTAACCCACATGAAAATCTTCTTCAGTTTTGTCTTTGGTCTTTTTCCCATGTTAATTAAATTCAATTATTTTGCATCGTGTTTGCTGTTCGTTATTGTTCACTGTATGGGAGTAGTAACAAACAGACAAACAAACAAACAAACAAACTCTACCCCAAACAAAAGACCTTGAGGAAACCAAAAAGCAAAAATCATTGCAAAGAAAAAACAAAAACAGGATTTAGCATTTTGCATCTTGTCGAGTCGTGTGTCAGAGATTTATGAAATAAAATGCAATTGAAAGGCAAATAAATACCCTGTAATTGTTAGGAAAAACAAGAACTATCGATTGTTAAAGTCGATATTTTCGATATATATTCATAAATGAGCTAATTTAAAGGATTTTTGGTTAGGAAAAACCATAAAAATGATGATAAAAATGGTTATTCTTGGGAGTTTTTTTCTAGATATTTTTAATCTTTACTTTAACTAACACATATGCCTAATATCTTTAATTGTTATTTCGTGCTGTTTTGGTTACGGCTTTAGTTTTCCATACTAATTTCATAACCGATTCCCCGATTTGTGATGTAATCCCTAATTGGTTTTTCAACTTTTGCAGTTTTGCACGAATTCCATTTTCATAAACTTGAGATTACAAAACAGAAATTTCGACTTTTCCTTAAGGGGGGAAACTTGTGAGTGAAAACTAAGTAGCTTTAATTTTCTATTTACTGGATACTACTACTACTACTACTGGTAATTATTGATCACAGATGTGGGCATGATTTCTAGGTCCGCCGCAATGAACCGGTTAGAATTCAATTTCGGTTTCATTTTACATTGACAAATTCTTGTTTGTTTGTTTTGTTTTCGTTCTTTTTTTTTTTTTTTTGTTATTTGTTTAACAAAGTTGTTGGCGCGTAACGAAAACTAACATACAAATGCATATTCTATTTCTGATACAAACTGACCAATTGTTTCCCTAGAGATCCATTCCAATTGCTGTTTTAACTTGTTTTTTTTTCATTTTTTTGTTTTTGCAACGATAAACGTTCAGAAATATTTGCCATTTGGTCACATACAATCTTAACTACATCGCTGGTTAACCATAAGTCACGTCTCAGACAAATTGTAAACATAAATATATATATATATATATATATATATATATCTGTATATATATAGGCTTTCATTAATGCCAGTTTCATGGAAATATATGTATGCTTTTTCTGTTGAAATTGATAAGGTATGGGTATTAAAAGTGATTATTATTCGATTGACTTTTTCGTAGAGATGGATTAAGTATTAAATTATATTATTATTTATATATACTATATGTTTTTAGATGGGATATATATGTTTTTAATGGCATTTACTGACCTGAATAACATTAAAGCCCCTCGAAGAAATGTTAATACTGGGTATTATTGAAAAAAGTCTTGCAAGCGGGCTTAAATGAAGCGGAAAAATGAGGTTTACAGAAAAAAAAATTAAAAACAATTATCCCAGTAAAGACAAGCCGTATGATCCTGATGGGGGTGGGAGAAGGGGAAATAAGGAAGTGCTGGGTAATTAAATGCCGGCGCAGAATCCACAGAGATGCACAAGGCAGATAGGAGGACACTTCTTCACCAGAAACCACACCCATTCCGTGTCCAGGACACGTGTCAACCGTAACAACGAAACAAAAACATGAAAATTTGGGGGGGAATATATCTTACGCCAAGTAAGAAGGAGTACTCTGAGGTGGTAAGAAAAGTCAGTGCAGAATGGCAATTAAATGCAACCCTGCAACGGTCATGCAATTGACACCAAACGAGGTTTCCTGCCCGACCTTATATGGCACCCCTTTTTGGTTTTTCAAACCGAAAATTCTATTTAAAAAAAATGTGCATAAATTAAGTAACAATTAAAACAAGTTGAGCTTGAGCTTATTAACCCTCTGATGGCATGACTAATTGATCTTATACAAGATTAATAATAAACATTCAGCTGGAACTTGGAATTGACTCATTGTCTGTTAGAAAGTGAATGGTTTTCTAAGCGAACTCCAGACTCTAGAATTATAAACTCAAGATGTTTACTCATATAACCTCTTATAGCTTCACTCTCTATGGCTCTATAAACTGACACTGATATTTGCCAGATTTCTTTTTTGCGGGAGTCATAAAAATATCTTGCAGCTATATTACCTACCACCTCGCCACGCTGCTAGACATCAAACGGATACTGAAAATAGAGCCAAATGCCGGAAATGCAACATCAAAATGCGAACTGTGAATGGTAAATGGAAAATGAAAAATGGAGCATCGAAAAAAAAGTGGAAAAAAATGCCAATGAAATTGTAGTGTTTTCTCATTTTTCCAGGGGGGGAAAGTCTTAGCCGATCCAACTTTATTTCAATGATCGATTAATGCCTGGAAGGTATTCGTATACGTTTTGCAAAACCATCCCCAAATATAGTTTTTCTGATTGGGAAAATGTTTTTGGGATGGAATGGTTTTATTGTCCGACAATACAAAGGCCTGAAAAGAACCGAAAACGGGAATTGCTCTAACGGTGTTTGCTCCCGTGAGGCGTATTGCGATTCACCCACTATTTCTAAGGGTGACTTTTCGGTACTATGTTGGTCATATAAATAGGGATCAGACTTTAATTTATATATAAAGGTAAAAGTGAAGGTTGAGGGAGTAGTAAAGGAAGTTTTAGATGTGAAAGTTAAAGTTAAGTAATGGAAAAAAAAAATTAAAAATATATAAAAAAAAAAAATAGTAAAATTTTTAATAAATTTTTAATAACTTATCAAGTTTAAAATCCCATTTTTTAGTTTCCAGAACATCTCAAGTCTAAACTTTCTATAACAAATTTGGCTTCTATTACCTTGAACGCGTCTGTATATTGCATGTGTGTGTGTGTGTGTGTGGGTGTATTATATATAAAGTCACTAAATATTTAGTTTACTGCAGACATGAATCATAACCGGAGGGAGGTTTCTTCCAAAATGACGGGTCACCGGCGGGGGAGTTATTATATTTCTAAGAGCGTATGAAGGGCGAGGCCGGAAGGAGACTGCACTAGTTCCTGTTCCTGCTCCTGCCTGACGCGCCACTTGAGTCTTATGAAAGTCATGATTTTTGTATGCGAAAAGTTTGTTACATGAAATGTCTGCTCACTAATTACTTATGTACTATATTCTCTGGCGAATGTCGATAAAATGACTTGGTTCTAATGGCCAAGCCAGATAGAATTAGAATTTGTGGCCAAAAATTGGAACAGAAATAGAAGAACAACATATGGCGGGGATTAGGTTGGTGTAGGAAAGGGGAACTATATGGGAAATTAAGCTAAAAATCTATATAAAAGTATAGGTTTTAGTTTGTTTGAATTAAAAGTTTAGTTTAGTAAGAAGTTTAGTACAGAAACTTTGAAGTTTTCTAATTTTAAAATCAATTTTCCTTGAAATTATCTATAAATTAGCCATCAAAAAGGTTTAAAAAGCTAGTACTTAAAGTTAATGATATATTTTTCATCTAAATACATTTCCTAACTACTTTCTTTAGCTTTAAAATGAGTTATAAAGTCATCTTAATAACTTTCTATTGATAGAAACCCACTCCCTTGACTTCCCTTTTTAATAAAATCCTTGACTCCATTTATGATTACCTCAACTTTTATTAATTAAAATCAATACTGCTGCTGCAATCGTAAATCCCAATACAGGAATTTCCAATTGCAAATGAACAAAAGCAGACAGGAAAATAATAATAATAAAAAAAAGAAAGAAAAAGAAGAAAACACAAACTAATGAGAAAATGCAATGGAAAAATCGCGGGGTAGAGGGCGTTGTTTTGCCATTGCTGTTTGCTTAATTGAAATTTATTGACTGCGCGTTTGTAAATTGTTTCATCTGAAGGCGGCCACAGAGGGGAAGGGGAGGGGTGCATACTTCTCACCAAACAGATGCAAATGCAGAGAATCAGAAGGAGTAGTGTATGACCAGGAAATCATAGCCACAGCACTGCTTCCCTCTTCATTTGGCTTCCCCTCCAAAAGTTGCGGTTCATTTGCTAGCGCCATCTGTTGTTGACGTAGCCGTTGAAAATCTTGCAAAATTATCAAAAAATTCTTAAGAGCAGAGCTCACTCCATATGGACGCATTAGCACCATTTGGAGTTTTATTTTCTAGGCTGTCAATCAGTCTATTGGATAGTTGTTAGCCAACGACGGCTGTCATTTGGCCCAAACTGACAGGTTGTCTGTTTTATTCGAGATTTTGACAGGGGAAATAAGGTGATTTTGGGCAGATGGTGGAGTGGCTCATGAAATGGTACTAGAATGGGAACTTTGGAACTTA